CATGGGATCAAAATTACACAGTAATGTGGCAAACGTGGTGTGTCACAGCCCCAGGGACACAACCTTTGTTGTGGGACATAAGGGAGTGCCTGGGACCTCCCTCATCCAGTCTCATCCCTGCTGGGCAAACCAGCTATCCTGCCAGCTGGACCTCCTCTTCCTTGCGTATAAGGATGCACTCCAGCCCCTGGGGAGACAGATGTGTCTGGAGTGGGGATACCCATGTTGGGGGCTGCTCATGAAGCCCCCCAGTGAGTGGCACACAGTGGTGGGAACAGAGGCAGAAGGGTTGGTAACAAGAGGAAGGTGACTGGCAGCCAACACATGTCCATGCAAAGCAGCTTTCCCTTCCTTGTAAAACATCAGGTAACAGATGCAATCAGAGCAGCTGCACCATGCAAAGGCCTTATAAAATAGCTAAAAGAAATACAAATGAAGGTTTAATTGCCCAATCAATTTAAATTGTGTTATCCTGCATAACTTCATTATTTCTGGAAACTTTGTCCCAAGCTGTTAGGCAGGGGGGGAGGTCTCTGTCTCTGTTAGCTTATGAATGTTTCCCTCGCAGGAGCAGCAGCTGCTGGACGGGCAATTCCAGCAAGGCAGCCAGAATTGTTTCTGCAGCACAACTCCATCAGTACACTGAAGGCTCATGACATCTCCAGAGCAGAAAGCACTGAATGAAAACAGCAAGCCCATCCGAATCACCATTCCCCACTGAGGCCCATGGCATGGCTGGCTTCAGGCTGGGAACGGGGCCTTCAACACACAGTGTTCCAGCGCCAGAAGCCATCTGCTAGATGTCTGACCAGACCCGGGTGGTGCTGAGGCGGAGCAAATGGTGGGAGCACAAGGGCACGTTGTGCACAGGCCCAGTGGCTGACAATGAGGTTAATTGCTCTGCTCAGCATTAGCTTGTCGTGCTCTAGAGAGAATGAACTTTGCTGTGTGTGGAAATAAAACACGGTCAGCTTCTGGAAAATAAAAGCTTGTTCCTTTAATCTATTTGAAAGCTTTGGTACATCAAAATCCTGTCAAGAAGAGGTACCTGATATAATTGGTGTGGACACTCACAAAGGTCCTGATGGAGACCTTTGTCAAAGAGCAGTTCCTGAGAGGCTGCAAAGGGTCATCGGCCAAGGGACATGCCAGGAAACATCGCACCATGGGGTGGGAGCCATCAGGCATCCCTCTGCTGCCAGCCCCTCACAGCAGTGTGCCCGGCCCCACAGCCTGGAGCCACTGGCAGGCCTGAGGAGAGGATGGCTGCAGGATGAACCACCTGGAGGGCCCCAGAAGGGAAAGGCTGCAGAGGCATTCTGACATGGACTCCAAGGGATTCCCACAGAGACACAAAAGGATTCCCACACGGACGTGTCCTCAAAAAGATGGTCCTTGTGCAAACCAGGGGAGACTAGATAGGCTGCCATCTCTTTAAAGGAAAACTCCATCTGGGGCCATGGGAAGCTCACCACAGCCCTTCACTTTGGGCTGCAAATACCTGCCATTAGCAAGAAACCCTAAACAAATGAATAGTGTTAGATGAAGATCAGGACAGAAGAAAGTGGCAGATTGTTGTTCCCAGAAGCTCTGTTGGGAAGGGACACGAGGTCCTCCAGAGTCCCTGGCTTTCCTCAGCTCCCACAGGACACACGGGAAGGGAGAGAGCCTTTCTGGGAAAGAGGTTTAGAAATAGCCTGGCTACAATCGAAACTGTTTTAATTTCCTGACAAAGTGAGGAAAAAGCAACATAATGGAAGTATACAAAATAACAAATGGTACAAAGAAAGTACATATAAGCACTCCTATTCACACTTTTCATATGAAAAGAGAACAAAGGGACAGTCAACAAAGTCGAATGGCGGCACTCTTACACGGATAAGCAAAATGCTGCTGTTCTAATGCGCTGTGCATCATCACCCAGGGAACTTGCTGTTCTAAAATATCTATGAAATCTCAGATGCAGAGAGTTTCCAGAGAGGGACAGCAATGTACCTGACAGGACATTTGCAGTTATCTTTGCTAAACGTGAGCTACATTAGCAGTATGAGTTTTTAAGAGAGAATTCACATACAAACAAGAATAAATGAAGAGGGGGAAAGACCCCCATGGGCAGATTATTCCAAAAATTCCTTCAAAGGAATGTCTTGTTCCTCCTTCCTCTGAAACACTTACATTGGCTGTCAGCATGCTCAGAGTCTGCAGAAGATTAACTACTTCTCCCCATCCCCTCTAGCTGCCTACTGCAGCAATGCTTGAATGCTGGCACTGCCTCCTGCCCAGCATGGCCTCCAGTCTCCACACATGGCCCTGCTGAGCGAGACAGGGATTTCCACCTTTCCTCTAGAAAGGTGGCTTGCTGGATCCCTGAAGAACTCTCCTTGAAGGTCAGAGAAGTTTCGGGGGTTTCTAGCTTCAGATTCTCACAAGCAGCAGCTTGACTTCCCGAATCCAGCTCCCCAGATTGGGGTGCTCTGTGGTGGATAGGGGAAAAGGCAGCTGCTCTGGTGGGTGCCGCATCCCTGCTTGCTCACTCCTCGTAGCCAAGGAACATTTCACATCCCCAGCCATATGTGCCTGAGAGAGGTAAAAATAATCTCGCCTTTTCTCACTGACATGCAGCAATATCTTCCCTAGTCCTCATTGAAATGAACTGAAATTTATCTCGGTAACAATTCTGCCTAATGATGGGAACGCACATTATTACTGATACACACCAGCACACCTTTGGGAGTGATCCTACCTGGATAAATAGCAGTGAAGGTCAGCCCTGGGGAGGGGGTTGGGAAACATCTTGACAGCTCATCCCTGAATTTAAACAGAGCTGACAGTTGCAAAACTGCAAAACCTTCCCTTTTGTGGCCCTGTTCACCTGGGTTAGATTGGAGCTGGGGCAAGAAATCCAGGCTTTTGATGGTGTTCACAAAGATAAAATAAAAATATTCCCTTGCTTTTTCTCACAAACTGTATAGTTTGTGTCTGTACAGATGTAAGCCAGCACTCAAACTGTCCATCCCCCAGTCCACTGCCCATTCCCAAAGGGCAGCATGCAGCTTGAGCAAGTGGCAACGAAGACCAAGACTTACCAGGACAGAGCAGGACAGGTCCATGCCCTGCTGGTCATATCATAGTGACCATCACTGTGTCGGCTGCACGACCCATGGGACACCCCACTCTCTGTGCCAGCTGCCCCCAGCCATTCATGATGGCAGCTTCAATACCCCAATTCAGTACCCTCAGGCTGGCTCCCACAGCTATAGAGCAGATGCTTTATTACCTGGGACTGAGTGTACCAGGAGGATATAAAGAGGCCTTGTGTTTTGTTGTTTCTTTTAAGACTTTATTTGTCTAACATGCTTGACCAAAAATTACAACAACAATCAAGTTATGCCAAAATGATTAAATAACCTTTAAGCTTTCATACCTCAAGTAGTTTAAATGATATTTTGAAGTAACAGCTGCTTTCATATCTTTTTCACATAAAAATACACAGTATTTTGAAGATACCTTAGGAAAAATTATTTTTAAGAGAATAGTTTATGGTCGACATAGAAATTTTGTTGAGGCCAATAAAAGGACCTCTTCCCTCCACTTTCAGCATTTTAGCATCTTAAGTGCCATGAGTGAATGTAAACATTTCAGACTTCTTTAACATACAGCCAATTTCCTGCCACATTTGTTTCAAAATGCTCAAATTGTGACTAGATTAGACACTTTAACTGCGTGCTATTGTTCATTTTCCCAACGATGGTGGGAGTTCACATTAAGCTATGAATTTTAGTCTTTGTTGATTTAGGAGCTGATCTTGCAATTTCTACACCAATGGACTTTACAAAAAGTAGACCCAGCAGATTCAGTGGCGGACTGTTCTTGTGCTGTGAACTGTTCACTCCAGGAAATCCCTGCTCATTTTTATGTTTGTTTTTTGTTTGTTTGCCTGTTTTGGAAAAAAAAGCAGCAAATTGGTTTAGATCCCAAGTCATCCAGCTGCTCCAGGAAGTGACAGCTCTATGGCTTGCCATGATTCTTGGTGTCAGTGGGCCCACAGCACGTCAGTTCCTGGCTTCAAATTGCACAGCTTCCAACATCCATTGGATGAGCATGCAGGAAACCCCCAAAATGCAATATTTCTGCCTGCCTCCCTTAGAGTTGTGGATGCTAGCCTGGGTTGGCAGAGCAGGAATTTTAATATAGATGCAGCCACTACACCAAGCTCGCATTCATATCCATACATCAGGCAAGAAGTAACCAATGCTACCATCCACTGAGTGTGTGCACATAGGAGCTATGCACAGAGCTGAAAACAATCCGGTATTGACAGTGCGATGAGTTGCCTAATTTGTGTGAACAAGACCAATATGTAAATGCAGTCAGAACATCAGCATTCAGATTCCAGCAGTTAAATGATCTCCACCTAGGCAGAAAAGCTGCTTTGAGCATGGAGATGTTAGTTCAAGTCAGAAACCCATTTCTTGCAGGACACATTTGAAGCAAGTATTTTTGCAAGTTTGTAGACAATTCTCTAGCTTCTGCCCAGGACTGTGTGGAAATCCCAGCAAACTCAACACCTTTGCTAACCTGCAGGAAAGCTGCACAGTTAGGATTGGTGTTACCTATCCCCAGCAGCTCCTGTGACAACCCCTGCTTTGCCTGGATGCATCTACACACAGCACAAGAGACAGATTTCAGCTGGGTTTATGGTTTTGTCTTGGGCCTCCCTCAACATTGCCCATGAATGGGTACATGGCCATGACAGGTTTTATTAGGCAGGCTCTGCTCTGTACCCACTGGCATGTACTCATCACTCACTGCACTTATGCTACTATATAGCTATCCAAAATTGAATGCCCAAACCCCACCTTTGGATGACCCCCCTCCCCCCACTTGAGGTCCATAAAGTTTCCCAAAGGACAAAATGATCACAATGACATTTAGTCACAGTCAATGTGGGCCAAATTCAAACCAGAAATCTCACTATTGGCTGCATATACCAGCAACAATTTTTAAACAAATAGTCCCAGTGGATTTTATTTAAAATTTCAATACTGAGCAATGGGTTGTTGGGTGTTGTTTTTGTCTTTTTCTTTATACAGACAATCACGCATTGCCTTACCATATGAAAACACAGTTATACTCCTTCTTTTTTTTAAGGGAAATGTTATCGTTTTTTTTTTTCTTTTTTTTCCTTCCCTCCCCCCCCCCCTTTCCCCCCACAGGTGAGGCCAGCTTACAATTCCTGAGTTTATACTGCACTTAACACAGTCTCCCTTCTCCCTTCTTGGATTTTGAGCTGTTTACAACATGCTGGCAATATGCATCCTTCCCCTTAATGTCAGATGTAGCAAACTTCATTTCAGTACAGTGAATTAAGACCTCTATTGCATTGGTTTGGAATAGACGGAAGGACTCAAGACCTGGAAGGCTTGAAATAATAGCTTTCCTCTTGTGGCTGATCATTTATGAAGCATCTTTTGTGTTTCCTGTGTTAAGGGAAAACATCTTTAACATCACTTTTATCAAGAGCTCAATGGGAAACATCTGAAATGAAGAAATCCTAGTCTAAACTTTGTTTAAACTGCAAACTTTCTTGAAGAAACATTCCCCTGAAAGACACTGTTCTTTTAATTAGTCCAATATAATGTACGGTATATACAAAAGTCCCTACTTGAGAGAGAGAGAGATGTATATGTATATAGATGTGGAATGCATTCACTTTTCTGTGTTCACAAACATTTTAATGGTGATATGTCTTTAATCTGTTTCTGGCACCAAAATGTCTTTGTTCATCATCCATTTTTGTCACTCAGATTTATCTGTGAAGAGCTAGCAGGAAAAAGAGAAGAAGAACTTTTCTTGTTGAATAGTTCCCTACTGGGATTCTCAGCCAGCAATATAAAGTTGCTAATGTGTTGGGCACAACATGAAATCCTTTATTATAATCATGTATTCCTCGGAGTAGGTAAGTCAATAATTATAGGTGGATTTAGTGGCTGGTAATTCACAGTGCACACAGAAGCATTCACGTAGGTAGTAGTTCCATCAGCCATGACACCATAACCTACGAAAAAAGAAGAGTTCTAATTACTCTTATTATTCACTCTTTAAATCATTTTTATTATTTACCTTTATCAGATAACAATGATGAGTGGCACATTTATTACTCAGAAGGTATTTAAAATTTACCTTAATGCAAAATGTGAAAGTCTCTTAGATGAATGTCATCTTTGTTCTACACTAGAACATTCTGTCATATTGCATAAGAAAACAAAAACTGACCCTCACTGGATAGAGGCTATCATCTCTGGCAGCCTGCTCTCCAAACCTCCTTATAAACACTGGCATTTCTCTTTGAAAAGCTTTTTTCTTCAAACTTCCCCAGTTTTAGAAGGTATGGGAAGACAGAGCTTAGAGAATTTCAGCACTAAAAAAAATAAAATACTTCATTTAGATTTTCAGACATCCATGCACCAAAATTTGGGCAATTTTTCTTCTACCTTTTTTCTCCGTGCTGTGCTGTACATATTTTAAGCAACTGATGGAGAAAAAGGACGATGTGACCAAGGGGAGGATGTATGCATATACACATGGTTGGGATTGGTCTCTGTAGGAACCTCTTCCCATGTGTTTGATCTTGATGACTAATTTCAATAAAATTTGGTGGAAAGATTGTAAAATGTCAGCCCAGGAAGAGAAAAATGACTTCATTAATACATTCTCTGACAGACAAGGTGAATTCCCCCCCAGACACTGTAACATTTCCATAGGAGAAAACACCTCCAGAATGTCTTACCAGTAGGGAAAAAGTTTTAACTACATCTCATGTCTGACTAAACATTCAAGACACTCTCAGAGCTAAATCTGCAGGAAATCAAACTTCCAGTTCTTAAGCTTGTAGAACTGCAGTGAAATGCTGTTTGAAAAGCTGAAGAAAATTGGACTGAAAATTAAACACACTGTCCAGTGTCAAAAATATTTTCATGTAAGTCTAAGAGAAAGCATGAAAGCATGAGCTTGATAACACTAAAGCTTCATGTTGGAAACATTGAACTAAATGCAAGTATTATGATCAATATCATGAAATGCATTCACAGTCTGAAACACATGATTTTGGGAAAATCACCCGTGGAAGGCTTTTGTACTAACAACAATCTTACTGTTAATAAAGTTAATAGTGAAACATAATCACTGCTATAAGGGCTGCTCCTATTTTATTATGCTCGTGCACAGCATCAGAGGCAGGTGATGGTGGTATGGCAGTAAAGGTTGAACCTTCCCAACAATATTCCATTACATTGTGTGACATGGCAGCAGAGGGGCAGTCTGACAAAATGGCACCTGACATGAAAGTGCAGATGAAGGAAAGGTGTGTCACTGAATTCCTCAAAGTGGAAAAAATGGTACCCACTAACAATCATTAACACTTCCTGGACGTTTATGGAAACCAAACAGTAGATGTGAGCACAGTGAGGTGGTGGGTGGTGCATTTCAGCAGTGGTGACAGTGATGTGAAAGACAAACCACGTTCCAGATGGCCATGAAGATTTTTATGAGTGTGGCACGCAGGCTCTTGTTCACTGCTGGCAAAAATGCATAGCTAATGGTGGTTAGAAAATAGAGTCTTGTAGCTGAGAATTTGCTCTATCACATAATGTTATTGTGCTTTTTGTACCAGTTTTAGTTTCCATGGAAATAAAAAGGAGGCATTACTTTCGGAGTGACCTACGTGCACTGAGTTAAACTATTTCTCTCCTGAGTACATAGGATCCTATTTTTTTCTGAAAGCAGTTACATGTCTTACAGAAGCATTGTTAATTGTAGCATTCACAAACAAGATCCAGTAGCCAAATAGCTTTCTTTTTTGTTCCTTAAAAATACCCTGAAAAATGCAGGGCCTCCTGGACTCCCCATGGAAAAGCCACATTATAATTAGGGCGTTGGGAGGGAAGAAAACTCTGTCAGGTTCCTGTCACAGACATTTCTTTACATCATGTGCTGTTTGCCACAGAACAATTGTCCTGTGTAAAACACAGGCTGCAGCAAGGACAGTCTGCATTGCTGCTGGGACTTTCCGTCTCCTCAGCTACACATTTGGAGAGAACAAAATAAGCTTGCTAATACATTCTTTTTGCTGGAAGATTCATCACACTACAGTCTTCACTCTTGCCTTACTGCCAGCAGAGTTTCCTTGGGCTTGACCTCCACCAAGTGCTGGCTGTAATTGGCAAAGCAGTATTTCAGCTGGAGCCCCTGCCAGGCTTCTCATCACCACCACGTCAATCAGCAGCAAGGCCATGTGTAGAGGTATTTTTTGGCAGAGACAGCTGTGCAGAGGGGGAATAGGGAAGAAACATTTCTTCTAAGCATCTCTTCCTCCCGGATGTTCAGTAAATGACTGCTGCAGATGTAGCTATGCCAGTCAGGGGAGGAACTCATCTGTTCAAATCATGCATTCTCTCTACAAAGAGCAGCTTCGTTTGCACAGCCTGTCTGCAGTGGGAATTCTCCTCTGCAGAGAGTTGCCATCCCACTGCAAAACAGGCTATGCAGCTCCCCATTTGTTTTCTCTAAATTATGGTAGTTAACGAGAAGAGTAGCTTGTTTCTGTGTTCTGATACCTCCTGTGCCAACTTATTAATTCACATGATATACCATTCTGTGGAGGTGCCACTCATTTCACTCGGGAGCCAAAGTTGGGCTTGGTCTTAGCAGATGCGATTTTGTTTACCTGCCTGAAGCTTCCTGGCTCACTAACTGTTTGCCTACCTCCCCTGCAACTCACTTGGCCTACCATTTCTGAAAAGACGAGTTTGAATTGTATTCACCAGTTCTCTTGTACAGATTCTCAAAGCCTGCTGTAACAGCAAGATGTTAGGAGAAAATATTGCCTATGCGCTGCTTGTTTGCTCTGTACTTTTAACAGCAATTCGGGCATTAACAGGTCACCACAGATGAGAAAAGAGAGAATGAACTTCATTCCTGCCCTCTAAAATAATGATCTCACTGTCTTCTCTGTCAATTTTACAGCAGTACACCTCTAACCACTCTTAACAGGTCAAGACTCCAAGCAGAAAGTTTGAATGGGACTTTTTGTGAAAGCAGAAGTATTGGAGTGCCAGTTACTCCAATTTTTCCATTTGTTCATTCCTACACTGCTGAAACCCACAGATATCCTACACTGAAGTCCGGAGCAATCTCAGAAGCACAAACTGGCAGTTGTGGAGCACCTTTTCCTGCCCATCAGTTAACACTGCCATGAGCTGAGTAGCTAATAATACATGCTGACACGCTGATGGGCACGTTTCTGCACAGCCCAGTGGTTTCTTTTGGTGGGGGCATGCTTGAAGACTTACTGCCACTGTATGTGTACTGGACAGACTCCTCTGGAGCAGAGGGCATCTACCTTACCCCTTGCCTGGAGACAAACTCCTGCTGTTCCTGAATTCAGCAGCACACATTTGTTCATATTTATTGACTTTGTGAAGAAAACTTATTTTTTCCAGTTAAAAATCAGTCAAGAGAAATGTCATGTTTTGTCCAGCTACAAAACATTTCCCCTTCCAGAGCACATAAATACATGAATAAGCATCTTATACTTCTACACAAGTCAGTGGTGATATTGCTCTTCATTTTAAATTCATACGGAGAGAGAGGGAGAGACAACTTTTATTGTCCAATCTTAAAGAATAAGCTTCAGAAATACCCCCTAAAGAACTCTCACCCATTTTAAAAACACAGAAACAGAGACACAAAGAACTTGCATGAATTATCTTAAGTCACAGAGTTTCAGCAGAGGAAAATACAATCTATCGACCTTAATATTTAATCCCTTTCTGCAACTACTGCACTCGTGTTGTTTTAAAACTCACAGTTAGCCTCACTGTGAAGGAGGCATCACTCTATTTTATAGAAACTAAAAGAGAAGCTGAAGTACAAATATTGAAATGTGAGTATCAGCCAATTTCATCTGCATATTTGCAGCTAAATAAGTATCTGAATTCCAAAAGCGCTACTGCAGACATTCAAGTTTAAAAATACTGGCTAAAACAGACAAGTTCTGTGCTTGTGGGTTTTAAGTACATACAGAAAGAAATGTTTTCTGACCTTCATGGATATGTCCAAACACATGAAGCCTTGGCTGTATTCGTCTCTGGACTGTGTTCAGCAGCTCTACACATCCTACCCGTTGCATTTTCTTAGGTACCCAGTCTAGAAAACCTTTGGAAAAGAAAGAAAAGCTTTAAAAGAAGACAGATTATTTGCAAAGCTGTACTGCTATAGTATTCAAAAACATTTCTGAGATTTAATGTCTCATGGCCTCTCATAAGCAGTCAGAAGAACTGACGTGGAAAAAAATGGTGTTTGCTTTGGTAAGTAGAAGAGGAAAGAAGGAAACATAAAAGCTCATCTGAAGAAACAGGACTATGATAACTCTTGCCAATAATTTTTCAAGGGAAAAAATCACTGCAATTAAAGCCTTTTTTTGCACTGCCGTTAGCAGGAAAACTCAGTGCTTTCTCCATTCTTCTTCCTTTAAGAGACTGATGATTAAAGACCTGCATATCCAAAGTGAGTCTCTAAAGTTAAACACCTAAATCAACACTTAGCTGTTTAAATCCAGCCCTGGGATGTAGTTATTGAAACGGAACACTTCAACCAATATAATTAATTTGTATAACTAATGATAAAACGACGTTGTTTTCACACTAACTCTTATGTTAGTGGAACTGAGGTGAGGAACCCAGACCGTATCTAAGAGCATCCTCAAGTAGAATCAATGTAAGGGCTTTAGACAGCAAAAGAAACTTAGCCTTTGTACAGTAGATGTATTTGTAAGTGCTGTATTTACTCCCATAGATGTGTTTAAAAATGCACTTTTTATGAAACAAAATGAGACAAAAATGTACACCAACTTGCTTCTATATCCATAAACTTGCTGCCAGCTGAAGTGTGTTGCTTTCTTCACAGCTGAATAGGAAGGATGTTATTGTGCTAGAGGCTTTGGAAGAAACTCCTCTTGCTTCCTTTCCATTGTTCGGTCATTTTTGATCAGGCTCAAATTTGGAAATGTGAAAAATACCATTGTTCTGTTTTTCTCTGTTTGTTCTGGTACTCTCACTGTGTGCCTGTCATAGCTCTGTATCTCTGACTTAGACTGCTGCAACAGCAGGAATGTATTGTGCTTTTGAGAAAACTTGTCAGTCAGAGAGGTGCAGAGTCTGGACCTGGTTTTCATATGTTTACTTTTGAGGTGCAATCAAGCATGGCTAAGTAGTATCTAACAGCTGGCTTAAAAGGCCAGAAGTGTAGTATTCAAGCTCTTAGAAAAGCTTTCACTTTACTGGAGCTTCAGAGGAGGTTCACACACTGAAAAATACCTCTTCAGATGCGAGTGCCTGGAAACTGAGCTCCGTGGGTTTTATCAAAATGATAGAAATTTGCCCTGCTATCACAGTCGTGAACTAGATGTCACATAGTGGACACTGGCTCCTAATTTATTCAGATATCTTTGAAGATGCTGCTTGGCAGCCAATGACGGGATGTACAAAGAGAAAGCCAGCTGAATTACAGACAGAGCAGGTCAATGCACCCAACAACTTCAAAATTCATTGTAGGAAATAACAACTGTTTAAGATGTCACAGTGAAACCAGCAGTTCCTCAGGAATTCAGTTCACGTTTTTTTTCAGAGGAAACACGTTATAACTTTGGGCTTTGTTACTTCAACGATTTGAAACAGTTAATTGTCAGAAAGTCTGTGGTGAACATAAAGGGAAAAGTATTTCCACTTCAAAAACTTCACAAACAAAAATCCATAAAATTAACTTCTCCATTAAATTAAGCATTATTTATGTTGAACATGTTTTTGTTTACATGCATTATCACCCTTCTGAAGCTTTCCCATATGTTAGCAGCTTATTATGTACACCTGACTACACAAACTAAGAATAATTGATTACACCTAGCTAACAATTAGAGATCATTTTAGGGTTTTTTTTAATGTTTGGTTACTTTAAACAGGTTTCTGCAGCTGTCAGGAAAGTATAAATCTTTGTCACAGACAATCAAGCAGACAGCTAGAAATGAAGACTTAAGGGTGAAATTAAATTAAAAACAAACAAAACAACAAAAAAAAAGAAGTGAACTTCTGAAGAGGAAAGAATCATAAATGAAGATCTTTGGGAGTCAGGGAAAGGACTTTCAAAGTTACACTAGATATAAAACTAAAAAAAATATGCTGATTTAGAAATCAGCATTAGAGCTTGTAAAATACCATATTTTATAAGCTCTGGGGGAAAAAAGATTATATCTTCATTAAACACAAAGAAGTCCATAAACTCTTAATGTTGCTTCTGGATCTAAATCGTGGGCAAATTTAAATCTATATAATAATGTAACATTAATTAGTTTAGGAGGATGCATGCTTTTTGGAAGTGAGGGAATAAGAAAGCAGCAGAGAAAATGAATAACAGACAGAATTTAGGCAGCCGTGCTGGGAAGAAAAAAAAAAAAAAAGAATTTGCAAGAGAACTGATTGCTTTACATGATCATTAGGAACAGCTCTGATCTTGCTATCTGAGATCAGAACAACAGTAATCAGCTTTCTGGTTAAAATAATTAGCTTGGAGGGTCAAGGAAAATCCTGTCTCCCATACTGTCTGTGGACAAAGCTACACATTAAGGAGGCTCTGTAAGTTGGGCATAATGCTAATTTCTTTTGAAGTGTCATGTATTTGTTGCCATGAGTGTTAGGGACGCCAACAGTTGATGTTCTCAGGCAGAGTGTTCTGTGCTATGAATGTATCAATACGAAAAATACAAAGATATGTAAACTTGATAAAAGGAAAATCCTTGGAGGATAGCTCAAGCTTATTATTATTATTAACAATAATAATATTAATAATAACAAAAACAAATGACTAAATTACCACAGCGCCTGAAACTGAGTGGTGTGAAACTTGCTCTCTATCTTCGAACAATGGATTTCAAACAGGGATACAGGGATATTAGGAAGAGCTGAAGGCTCTTTAAAAATGGCTTTTAAAGTGTTGATGTTCCTGCAGAAATTTCAGAAACATGAGAGTTCTGAACAAGACAGTGTCAAAGATCCACTGTTACAGTTCAAGCCTTGGATCTACACAGTGATTATCTCTGTTACTAATCATTTAGAGAAGATATATCAAGGCCTATACAACTCACTACTGCCATCCAGTTTTATGATGCAGGTCCAGGTTATGAGCAGTCTGTGACACGGCACGAGACTCCAGTTTGGTGGAGCAGCAGCACACAGGCCTGCTCTGTGAGAAACTAAGCTTGCAAAGCAGCCCTTTCACCAGGATTAGTGAGCAGTGGAATGCAAACGTGTCTTTCTATAGGAAACAACAAAACACAAACCCTTTGGACACTTTCTCCTCCAGATTTTGAAAGAGAAGGAGAAAGGGTGGAAGACAAGAGGATTTTAGCTTCAGGAAATTGAAGACTGAAGAGAATCTAAAAGTTTAAAGGAACCAACTGCCTTCATCTTACACAAAGCACTATTCTGCAGTAAGAGGCAGCAAAACATTTCAGTACATGCTTCACATCCATGTCCAGTTATTAGTGAGAGTTAAATACATATAAGCATTAGACATAGCTTGCTATCTGTTAGATTTCTTGACAGATGTGTTAAAAAACAAAGCCTTTACTGTATCAGGACAAGTTTCTGTGATAATTTCATTTCAATAACACAGATCATTTCACTGTTATCCGAGAAGGTAAAATTTTCTCCTATCTTTCTTTGTATCATCAGTATGTTTATTACTTGTAAAACACAAGTGCAAAACTGTTTCTTGCAGGCCTTTTAGTGTTACTGTATTGTATTAAAAACAGGCAATTAACCCTATCCAAAGATAGGCCAACTACCACAGCATTTGGGTTTGTGAGGCAGGAGATAAATCAAGTCAGCATGCAAATCCATGGTAGATAGGGGGGATGCTGGTGCAGGTGAGGGAGAATGATGGTGCTATGAAATAATCCTGCACTGCTCTCTGAGACTTCTCCATGCTTCAAGTCAACTGATTTCACCAACCAGTGCACAGTGGGCAGATGCACAGGAAAAGTGGACCTCACTTATTTACAAAGCTCATTAAGACCCAATTTATTAAGACTTTATTTTTGTGACCGTTATTTAATTCCCTACCATAAGTTGTCAGTAATCACAAAACATAAACCTGAGCTGAAGTTCTGGTGCTGCTGACATTGGTTGCTACTTGGATGTTACTTTTGACTTTCATCAGTCAGGTTTCCACTCTTTGTCTAAGGACAGACAACAGTTACTGTATAATCATTTGAAGTTCACAGCTAACAGCACTGATACTTTCTTACCGAGAGGTGGTCCATGTGTTATAAGAATATCTATCCCATCTGGAATAAGGTTCCACTTCTCTAATAGTGCTTGGCCTCGTGGAAGATTAAAGCCCCAGCCATAAAACCAAGGTTGCCTGCCAAGAGAGGAGGAGAATGTCTTCAGTGCTACTTCCATGTATGGTTACCTAATTAAAATATGTTGATAAACTTTCTATTAGCATGGAATCTGGAGACACAAATAGCATTCTTTTTTTTTGCGTGTGTGTGTACAGTGAAACTCTCTTTCTGTACAACCAATGTTATATAACTTGTGTGGAATATCCACGTAGCCCTTAACAGATTCAATGGCAGTACACAGTACAATGTTCACAGCATTATTCTAACCAGGTATACAGTAACTCTTACAACAGCTGAGTACCAAGACCCCCACTTGCGAATTAGCATGCCAGATTCTCATGGTATCTAGAAGCACACCTGCCTCAGACAGCTATGTATGGTAAGTGTTCTGCATTCACTCCCATCACATTTGAGCTGTAGCCCACCATCATTTGAGCAGAGTCAGAACCCAGCACAACCATAAATCCTACTCAGAAGAGAGTAGGAGACATCACCTATGCTGTTTCTCCAGTTGGAAGCATCCCATCAGAACAACACTGATACTTTTCTTATATATGTATTTTTTTTTTCTCTTTTCTGGTATGTTGAGTGGCTTTTAAGATATTATCTATTCAGGATTTCTTAACATATGGGCATTTACTCTTTTTAAAATGTAGTCACAGAACAGCTCATCATGGAGCAGTGGGACTGTAATACTTCCAATCAGAACACATTTTATCTGTACCTTGGTGTTCCATTGATTAAAAAACTGTATTTCATGGCAATTATATCACAGTGGTAAATTATGTCTTGCTGACTATATTCTAATTCTAGGCCATAAAATTGAAGGGTTAGTTTTAGGTTGGAGTTTTTAAATAATTTTTTGACTGACATGTTCTGGCCATATCCATATTTGGAGAACAACAAACAGAGTGCTGTGATTTAATAAGGTTTATGATAATTGCAGCCTTGGTGTTTATAAATACATACACATAAACCAAAGCTCCCTTTGAGATGTTACTTTGTTGAAGAAAGCTTTACACTCCCTCGCTGCATCAAAAGACAGAAAGAAATCTTTTAAACAAATTCTCTGAACTATACTTTACATCATGTATGGCAAAGACAAAAGAAAATGCCCATGAAGCTATTATTCATCCTGTTCCATTACTGATGCTTCACTAACATTTCAAAAATTAGCACGTCTGCAATCTTCATGATGATATATTTTCCTCTTTTTCTTTCGGAAAGCTGCAAAGCACATGTCTATTGAAAACAGCTTAAAATCTAGAGCTGGATAAAATATAAAGTGATGTGGCTTATCAACAGGAAGAAAAGAAAATTCTGGTAAAAGGAAAAGTAGAAGGGGGCTTTTTCATTCTTCCTTCTACAGACAAAAAAAGCCCCAGCTTTTCTAGAGAGATGACCAAAGGCCGCGGGGGTGCCCATGGCTAGGAGAGAGCTCACCTTCCAGCTCCTCATCACACAGCATCCTGGATAGCCAGGTGTCCCAAGGAGAAAAAATAAGAAAGGAAAAGAAAGAAAGAAACAAACAAAAAACTTAGTACACCTTCCACTGAGACCAGAAGCATATCTCAGCCATTGGAAGTTGTAATGAGGGAGGTGAAGCTGTGTGAAGAAGAAATGCTAAGAGCAGCACCAATGGAGCAGAAACATTGTTCTGAGCCAGGTGGCTCAGACCAAGGTAGCTGCTTTCTGCAGATACCCACACAATTCAAACCCCACGTTTCTGGTTAGCTGTTCAGCTTCCAGCATGGTTTCCTCCTAGCAAGAACACAAACTGGGCTGTCGAACATGACTTCTCCCTTCCTACTGCTGTGGTGATCACTCACGGTCTATTCATTGCCTTACTGTACAGTAACTAACTTTGGCGTGCAATACTGTCACACAAACCAAATCCAGGCCTGGGAAAGACTGATCCATATGCTCAGCCCATTATTGAGAGAATGGGAGTGTTTTTGTCTCACAGAAATGCTGTTAAAATAAAGAAACCAGAGCCTGCAAGGTGCTCAGATGTTCCAGAAGTGGAAAGCCTTATAAAAATACACAGAGGTTAGGTTTTTTCCAAACTCCCCATCCCTGCCTTGGGATCACACTTCAAGCCTTTCCTGACAAGCAGCTTCCTTCACTAAGATGAACATACTCAACTATTTGGCAAACTGTATTAAGGCCCAGAGCAAGTTTTTCAGTCACTGACAGAAAATACTCACAAGAGCAACCAAGAGGCAAGCGTGGCGTCAGTCAGTCGATCCTTCTTCAGCCTTCAGTCACAGCTGAGACGCAGTGACTGCAGCCCCCTGCTCCCACCCGTGGCCCAGGACAACACAGTCCCCATGTCCCCAGGGGATGCGGGGTCAGGCTGCATCCCACAGCCCGCAGCCTGCTGGGCACAGAGGAACTGGCTGCTCCCTTGTAAAGAACCCAAGGAGAAAGATCAATATTTGCCAAAGAAGAGAAGGTCAACAACCTCCAGAATCATTATTTTAAGCACACAATGAAGCATTTATAAAGAGAAATAATCGTGACCGTCACAGGTCGCGTCAACACAATTTAATCCTGCTGAAATCCAAACGACTACGAATGGCACCATGCAGACGCGAGGGCCTCAACCTGTCCCTCCTAGGCCCAGCCCGTACATCGCGGCTTGTTAAGAGCCCGTTTCCCCTTATGAATAGGCATGATCTGCTTATTAAGATCCACAGCACTTTCCCTGTCCCTGCCTCCCTTTGTGCCGGCAGCGCGCCCACCCGAGCTGCGGGGCTGTAAGTTATGCATGCTGGAGCTGTTCTTTTGTGAAGGGAAAATGTTCGAACTTGCCTGATTTGCCATTATGCTGTCTTTCGTGACAATCCCAAGATGGAAAGAAATGGCCGAAGTGTTTCAGGCAAAAATCTGGAGTTCAAGGAAGGATTCAAGTGGAGGATAGTAGAGTGCTTTATTTAAGAGAAGGAAGAAAAATCGTGCACCCAATTGCCCCCACCCCCAAAGCCAAACCATCTTTATACACACGTGAGGATTTTATAAACCCCCAGGTTCCCTCTTCTGACAATTTACTGCAGAACAGCTATCAAAGTTTCAGAGTAGGAACAAAAAATGTTCTCAAATACCTACTAACAAGTCTGTGACCTGGATGTCATGCAAAGACAACTTGGTCTAAGATTTCCATTTATGATGGAATCTGAAAGCTAAGCTGAAGTCTTAGTACCATGCACAAAATTTCCAGATCCCCTTATTAGTTGCTGATGAAAAGCATAATGTTTTTATAATTATTTTTCAATAACAGTTCACATTTTATGAAGAAAATGCTATACTGTATGTTATCGAAGAGAAAACCTCCTATTCTCAAAAACAACAACCAAAAAAAACCCCATATTTGGCAATTAAAGACATACATCATGAATGTAATTCACCTCTGAAGTGAAGTGCTCATGTGTAGAAATGTACTTTGATTTAGGTCTTATCTTCTTAAATGGAACAGTTGCAGTCTCTCCATTTCCTACTGAAATTCAACAGCATTATTATTATGATAAAAATAATAATTGTCTACACATAAGACTCTCGGGGGAAAATATATTGGAAGTGAATTTGTTTACAGCACAATTAACCTTATGTTAAAAACATATGAATAAGTTTTACAGGTCAAATAATCCACCATACAAAAAGGGCTGAATTATCAGAATTTGTGCTAGCAGTCGGATGTTGCTTTATGTACTGAATTTCTATCTTTCTGTTCTAAAGTAACCATTGGAATAATTTTCTTACAGAATGATAGTTGCTATGACAACCATAGCAAATTTTCCTTTTCTGAAACAGATGTCTCATTTAGTTGAAAATTAGAATGTGAAAAACCCATGGGAAAAATTAATTCAAACTTTAACAGAACACTGACTACAATGTAATCTCTTATAGGTTAACCCCTTAACATCTTCCTGCACTCTTATAGTAACCTTCTCATAAATACTAATTAAACCAATTTAACCTCCTATGAATGACCTTCTTAGCTATCATTAGCACTTTAGTTGTCTTTGAAAGGAGCAATTCTGTTACAATAATAACTGAAAAAAGTCATATAAAAAAAAAAGAGTGGTCAAACATATTACCATCTTAATTATTTATTAGTTTTCCTTCTTTTATTCAGCTACTACTGGAAGGAGCTACTGTGTAGTCCAAGAATTCTTTTGTCATTTAAATGGGGCATAACTTAGTTTTACATGTGATTTACTGTAAAGGGCAGTGATGCACTACGAAGACTTGACCTGTAATTTATGTGAACACTGAAGGTTTTCAATTTTCAAACCACTGGTATACATCTTAATCTGCTCATCAGACATACAAGGGAATACAAGAACAGGATACTTGACTGGCAAAGAACTATCTACGTACATGCGTTTTTCTACTGCATGCAACAAGATGGTAAATCTCCATTACCTTGATTCTATTTAAATGTTTTAACTTAAAGAACAGATTTTTTCCTTTCTCTACATGGTATGCAGTCATAAACTACAAATGACCATGGAAAGCAGCCAGTGGGCAGTTAGAAAAAATACTCAAAGCACAGCATCACCCTTAGTGCCTGCAGAGTGCAAGCCACAAAAAGAACTTCAGGGCTGCAAGATTTACAGCAGCAGCTCCAGCTAGGCTGTCCGGTTGCTTAAGACAAATCCTGCCACCAGTAGGCACGCAATTACTCTTGTTGACTTCAAGGGAAAACTCCCTTACAGAGTCCAAAATCCACAGAGAACTATGGGTGGCAACAGACTCAATAGCCATTAGCATATCAAAGGGAGCAGTGGGCAACATCTTGTGTACACCTGAATAGCAAAAAAATACATAACTAGAACACAATCATTCCAGATTTTCATTTTTATAAAGCTTCCTACAGATAGCCTTTTTGCAGCTGAAAGTCAAATTCTCTAACTAACCTTCCTTCACTTACAAAATAAATTTCAGTGGTTCATGAACATGCAACTTGTTTCAGTCTTTTCTCCACAACAGTTGTTCCTCTCGTAGGAAAATAAGC